TGAATGATAAGGCAGAATATAAGTTTCTTACGTACTCTATAATATTTAAAATTCGAGTTTATGATGTTAAGCCAGAAAAAGATTTCTGCCTTTTATGTAAAATTAATGTACTAAAGCTGGTGTCACACACTGTTTGATTTTCTATATAATTAACTGTATGCTAGTTCGTTTGTTGTTGTGTTTGATCTTGTGCATTAAGCACGACAGACCAGTTTGTATGATTTTTATGTTTGCTATGGTGCGTTATTTCGTGCTCGTTTCCTTGCATGCATCAAACGGTGAGTCGGAAAGGATCACAGCATAAATAATAATTTTTATACCAAAATTTAGACTTTATACATTATTAATGAGAAGATAGAAGTAAATAAATTTAATTATAAAGAAATAAAAATATGATAAGATATATAATTTACCTTGTCCAATCGTTCACGAGAATGAACGCTGTGGATAATAAACATTAGTAGTTTTTCCGACTTATCGATTTTCCTATAAAAGAGATTAAAAAGTTTATAATTATTAGGTAAGAACACAATACGTATAATTAGTAAAAGAAATTAATACTTTGGGGTTATATCTTCTAAATTTGCTAACATATAGTCCAGTACTGCGTCGTTATCTGAATGTTTATCAACAATATTTGTAATAATGACATAGTAATCGTCGCAGGGGTAATTTAAATAAAAAAAAAGATCAACAGTTGTATTTACAAAATTGATTAATATATCAGGATTTTCAGAACATGTCAAGTATTCTAATATCTCTCTCTCTCTCTCTCTCTCTCTAAATCTTGATTTGTTATATATACATCCATTAATTTATTCCAAGTAGACACGTTGGCTCCCTTTATACCACTACAATACATCCATTCTGTTAAGTCTGAGGGTACTCTATATAAATAATAAAAAAATTATTTTGTGATTTTTCCTCTGTATATTATGAAATAATTTATCACTATTTTGTGCCATGTATTACAAGTTTGTGTGATTACAATAAAATTACTTGTGTGTTCCAGTATCTGCAAGAAATTTGTTTAATTTAACAGTGGCCATTCTTTTGCATTCCGAATGTCCAAAATTACATGCCCATTCTAGAATGTTGGATCTCTTAAGTTTTGTAAGATCATCCTCGATAGGATCTTCTTCATATCCTACGTTTTTAATAAGTTCATCCAAAATGTGCAGTACATATTGCTACATGTGTAAATAAAAATTAATTGGATGATCCTTCTGCTCTGTTTCATTTTTTAAATATGCGTGTTTCTATTAATTAATTAAAATATCGCTTACTTTGAAGTAATCCAGTTCTGGATATTGATGAAATTCCCGTGTGAGTTCTAATACATTGAACATAGGATATAACCCTACAATATCTGTTTCCCGAGACAGGTAATTTGCGAGATCCATAAACATCTCAATATCGAGATGCTGTGTTATCATATGATGAAAGGCATCATCAATGATTTGAGCTCGATTAAGCACGTGTATTTTTGTATAATTGTCAGAATTGAGATAACTCGCAATTTTTCGCCAGTTCGTATCGTCGTAATTAACGCGATAGTATCCTGTTGAAAAATTAATTAGCTTTGTAAGTCTGTACACCTTATTAACTTTTTTTTCAGATTTGAAAGAAATATAGTTAAATATTTTTCTCACATGTTCAAGTTCTATACCAAAATTGCTATTATGGATCGTTAGTTATAATGTAAATTATAACTAAGGGTTTTTGAATATTTTTCACTAATATTTTACTAATATTACGATACAAAAAATGAATTTTTTCGATTTGAATTAAATTACTGTTATATGTGAAGTACATTTACCCATTTGTTGTACATTGACTATAACCCAATCATCTGGGTCGATGCCATCAATACTTATATTTTTATCTTGTGGTCTCAGCCAATGTGTGGGCAGAGTATTGGAAAAGTCGGGATTCGTTTGCGTAGCAAAACCTAAAGGTATCCACCATTTATCGCTGTCGATATTTTCGTTTTTTGGACGAAAATGTTCTTGCGTTAGTATTGTTTCGCCGGTGTCATAATTTCGGGTCACGCGTACCAGAGGATAATGTCTTTGTTTTAACCAGGTGTCCATTACTTCTTTCAATTTGTAAGCATTATGTGGAACATTTGATTCATCAAGGGCTGCTTGCAGGGCGTTCCACAAGTCGTCGGAAGTAGCCGAACTAAACTGACTGTAAAATAATGTAAAATGAACGGCGGAGATCATATATGTAGATATATGTGTACTAAATAACAATGTAATTATATTAGTAGATCAATATCTCATTAGTTTCATGTTTCCAAATTGTAAAAAGGCAAAATTTAAACTTTAATATACTAGGTATTATGATTAAAAAATTAAATATAATGTTATCACATTGAATGCTTCTGTAATAGAACGAAATATGTTACTTACTGTTTGTGTAAATATTGAATTAAACCGTTCCGAAATACCTCAGGGGTAATAGTATGCTGTAACATGCGCAGTATAGCAGGTGCTGCGATAATTAACATCGTAAAACGTGACTAATATGTTGAAATAATACAATACCACCATAAGCTTGCAAACGTAACGTGATAGCAAAAAATTATTTTTACAATTTAAAGTAGGTGGCATATTTTTCTACATTCTTAGGATACAAACTTAATATAGATATAAACAAATAAACATATAAATTCTCTTTTTGTTGTTATCCCTTCCTTTCTTCTAGATCATATTACATAAGTTTGGAAACTCGGGGAGTCATTTACGTTTACTTCATCTCACCTTTACCATAACTGGCACCAGAGAAAAGTGATTGAATTTCGTTAGGAGTGTTAGCTTCGAATGTAATAGGCTTCATATACTTAGCAATGTCAATATGAAGAGCTGTATGTTGAGTTTTGATAACAAAGAAGTCCATTGTTCGCCATTCTTTGAAAATCTGGAAGCGTAAAGAACTCTGTAGAAAGTTTTAATAAAATAAAATAAATATTAACAGAACATTATTATCACTAATAAAACACAATGTAAATATTATATTTTTCATTTAACTAGTAATTATTTAATCTATAACTGACGGTAGTTCTTTTGGCACAAAATATCAGAAGTGATTTATTTGTGTTTGTATATTTTTATATTTTGCAATTGAATATAGGTATATGATATTTTAATCTATATTGTTTGCTTTACTCCAATCAATCACTCGAATGACGATTCGTTCAAATGCATGTGGATATATTTGTTACAATGTTTAAATCAACCTCATTGAGAATATATTCTTCGAAAAATGATGCAAATCCTTCGTTTAGCCATACGTGAGACCACCATAACGGGCTAACTAAATTTCCAAACCATTGATGCGCCATTTCATGTGCTGCTGTCACTGCTACATTTTGTTTATAACTCAGCGAATCTTTCTCTTCATTGTATGCAAAGTCCTTTTCACTAAAAATTATTTTATAGCGTAGTTACACACCTTCTATTTTTGTAAAAATTAATACTATAAAATGTTCTCATATTATAACTTTGTAAAGCAAATTGTTTTAGGGTTTTGATAATTTGCAGTTTATGATTACAGAATTTTTTTCCTATTTTTTTCACTTCCGAATATGTAACTCTATTATATTTTTATTCCGTGTTAGATATTTTATATCTTCTTTAATATCGCTTAAGGGGATGCTGGAGTGATTCTGCACTTTCGCACCTTTTGCACTTAAAACTGTCTGTTTCGTGGAAAGATTTGTGTAATACACAAATTAAATGGCACGTGTACAGATGATCGAAAGCAGCTCGCTATTCCGGCTAAATTAAAGAACAATATGGCATCACTGAAACTAAGTTTGTAAGTCTAATAAAAAATAATAGTGAGTAACACACATACTACATGTACTGTATGTATGTGTTGCTCACTATTATTTCTTATTAGACTTACAAACTTAGTTTCAGTGATGCAATATTGTTCTTTCATTTGGCCGGAATAGCGAGCTGCTTTCGATCTGTACACGTAAACCATTTAATTTGTATATTACACAAATGTTTTCGCGAACTGACAGTTTTTAGGTTAGAATGGTGCAAAAGTGCAGAATCACTCCAGCATCCCCCGGAAAATATTTAAATCTATTTAGAAAAACAAAGTTCAAACATAGAAAAGAAAAGAGTTGATTTGAATAATCTTATTTTCTTATATAGAATTTTTATAACTTTATAATGTTAAGCAGCAATAAACATGCAATAATCTGGTAAGATATATAAGTAATTCTGTTAATATTTTTCTTAAATTACGTTGCATTACCGATAAATAATGAGTCCCCAATTTTCCATGGCGCCAGCTGTCAGCTCCGGAACTGCTAAATGATCCACTTTCGGGACTTGATAGGTGCTGTTAGTATATTCTATCAATATTTCTCTAGCCTTTTGAGCGACCTCCTGTGCAAATTTTGAATACGGAGCCAGTGCTGCTCTGCACCACATGTTGAGCGTTTCATCTGCGTTAGGAACACGAACATAATCAGACACTACAAATGCTACGAGATAGGTGGACATGACGGGAGTGGTGTCAAAGTGTGTCCATCATATCATCTTCGTTGTTTGATTGATCCCGTATCGGCATATTTGACACAGCTGTGTAGTTTCGACGATGTTTTATGGAGATATTGAAAGTGGCTTTTAATGCCGGCTCGTCCCAACATGGAAACGCCCGTCGCGCCCAAGTTGCCTCGAAATGCGTTGCGGCCAACCACCTATCACATTTCAATGTATCACGCTTTCAATAAATTCATCAGCCACTTCTAAAATGAACGAAAAATTTTGAAAATATGTACTTAAATGCAGTTTATGAATTACAGTATACATATGTGAACTATTACATTTCT